GCATGTAGATTTAAAATCATAAAACGAAACCCCCTTTCGATTTAGAACCCTAAAATCAAAATAGAAAAATCGATTTCAATATCCCCAGATCCCTTCGACCCCAAAATCGATTCTATTTAAATGTCAGAGTAGTCGATACTCACCTGAACTCGTGGAGGAGATCGTCCGTCGTCGATTTGTTAGAGAAAGGATCCTGTCTCACCGTCGCTTGCGAAATCGCCTCAAAGAGAAGAAAACCCTATAGAGGAGAGAAAATGATAGATCTTTCGCGAGACCCGTGTTTCGGCTTAGTCAACACAAAAACTCCCTCAGGCGTCGACACGTGGTTTGAACCCGTATCATACGGGGTTCACCAAATTTAGCCTATTTTTTTAATTAGAAAACTAATTTGGGCCTAAGAATCCGAGTCCATGAACCCCAGGTGATATTCTAATGGGCATGCTCTAACCCGGGTGAAGATACAATCCACGGATAGACCTTCTCTTGGGCATTCAAATGGATTGAAAGCAATAACCCATATACGTGTGGCCACAAAATGAAATATAATAGAATGTCTTCGAACCCGGATTATTCTGAAGCTCACCTACCACTACACCACCACTTTGTGGTTTAAATGTACATGTATACGTCGTTAGATAAAACTGTCTTACGTCGAAAATTGGTGCCAAAATATAACTTTATGTGAATTAAGACTAGAGAATTTGGTCGTTCTTTACTGCAAATTGTTTGTTTATGCTCTTTTATTCCACTTTTCTCTTGTTTGTTCTCTCTTTTTTCATATAAAGTAAAGTTTTGAACGCTTGCCAGACTAATAAAAGATAAGCTACGTTACTTTGTGCTAATTAATTCTTTACAGAAATCTTTTTTTCATTAGTTATCTGTTTTACATCTGTTAGTTGATCTATTAAGTTTTTTTTGTGCAACGATCTATTATGTTTACATTTGAACAAAACACAATAGATGGTATTTTTATCCAGGATGTTCGAAGTGAGATGTTCCAAAACATAACATTTGCCAGTCGTGATTAAGTTCTAAGTGAGATGTTCCAATAACCCGTCATGATTAAGTTTGAAGTGAGATGTTCCAAAACCAACAGTTATCCACAATGAATTTCAACCAATAGCATACCATTGGTTTTAGATATTGTTATTTTACAAACAAAAATCATAAAAAGTTGAAATGAAAACGAAAAAACTACAATCAAAAACATTTTTCTTTGGCTAGATGAATCTTCTAATTACCTTTTTTCAAGCTTTTCTTAAAATAAGGATTAATTTCCCAACCAATAGGGAGTTGGCATTTCGAAGGGATTCTATATCATAAAGCTTGTCGAACAAATAGATAAAGAATAAAGTATGATTTGATTATTTACTATGACTTAATGTAGACTTTAGTTAATTAACTAATAAGAACTAGAGCACTCTTGAAAAAGTGGTCAAAAGCTACCTGCCAAAGTCTTTGTAGGTGCAATTTAAGCCAATTAAGAAATAATTTGTACAAAAATGTAACACAAATTATTCTTCCAATAACGTGTGATGCAGTGCAGCTAAGTAATTTTTCGTTTATTTATTGCTCTAATTAATACATGTTTTTTTCTTCCATTTAATTCGTCTGCTTGTGTGTAGAAATGATGCCTACTTCCTCCACCAAGACAAACTAGCTCCAAAGACACTGTAATCTATTTTTCCAAATTTGTTAAATGGTCTATAGGTCTGATAATCTTTTGTGTAGACATTGTAAATTTATACTTCATAGCACAGTCAGTCCTCGTTTAAACAAAAAAATAGCAGAATCTGTACTCGAAGTTCTGGGCTTGTAAGCAAACTTTATTTTTGGCCCATATTCTACTAACTTTTTAAATAAATAATGTTTAAGTCTACCAAAAACTGAACTAAACACTTTTTTGTTTTTGTTTTTTTTTTGTCACAGCCAAACACCTTTTGTTAACATTAGAGCTATTGGGCCTTAAATTTGTTAAAATATAATGTTTTACTAAACTTCTATCCAAGACCGAGTATTCATTCTTCTACAGTTCCACTGTCTTAGTTTGTCTGTTTAATCAGTGATTTGGCTTCGAGGTTAGGCTTTACAGGTTTGCAAAAACGACAAAAGCTACAGTAATCATCATAACAGAAGGCCCTTATAGCTCAGTGGTAGAGCGTCAGTCTTGTAAACTGAAGGTCCGTAGTTCAATCCTGCGTGAGGGCACCTTCCTAACAATTCGTTATATTGTTTTACTTTGGGCTTTTAAAAAGCCCATATACTAAAAGGCCCAAAGAAGCTTACGATCCGTTTCACCTTTGTTATTGCCAAATAAACACATTGCATCACTTGGAAACCCTTGTCCTAAAACCCTAAATCGCCACATCAAAACGAGTTCCTCCGTAGCCTCTCTCTCTCTCTCAGTCACGACGAAGCAAATCAAGATGTTGCGAAGGAACGTGAGGTTAAGAAAAGAGTATCTCTACAGGAAGAACTTGGAAGGTGGTGAGCGTGAGGTCTATGAGAAGAAGCGCAAGATAAGAGAAGCCCTTCAAGGTTCCGACTGATTCGTTAACAATCTCTCTATTAAAGTCTCTCTCGCTATTCATTGACAACGGTGCTTTGTTTATGTGTAAAACAGAAGGGAAGCCGATTCCTACTGAGCTCCGTAACGAGGAGGCGAAGCTTCGTCAGGAGATTGATCTCGAAGATCAAAACACTGCTGGTAATAATTCTACTTGTGTTGTGTTCTTCTTGTTATTGATACTGAATCATTAGTAAGAAGCTTAGTGTTCGAAGAAGTTACTGTTTGTTTTGTTTATTTTCTGTTCTTTTTGTATGTGTTCTGTTCGAAACTTAGTAATGTGGTTATGTTGTAGGGATATGTTTATGTTTTGTTTCATTGTTCAGTTACGTATTTTTTATTGGTTTTATTTTTCTAATTTTATATTTTTGTGAAAAATAGTTCCGCGGAGTCATATTGATGATGAATACGCAAATGCAACTGAGAAAGAACCCAAGATTTTGTTGACAACTTCTAGGGATCCAAGTGCTCCACTTACGCGATTCGTCAAGGTATAGCTGCAAGTTTAGTTTTGGTTGATGAATAAACATGTTAAACATTCTTGGTTCATTCTTTAATTTTGTGGAATCTTTTTTTTTTTGCAGGAATTGAACATTGTGTTTCCTAACGCCAGTAAACTGAATCGTGGTAGTCAGGTATGTGTCTTCTTCTGACTTTTGTAATTCATACAAAGTGCAAGTATCTATAATCCTTTTTGACCATCTTGTTTCCTATGTGGTTAATAGGAACCATCACTAAGCGTTACTTTTATACAAACACAATACACCTCTTTTTGGGATCATAATACTGGAACTTGTTTCTCTGTGCAGGTCATTTCTGAGATTATTGAAACGGCGCGTTCTCATGATTTTACTGATGTGATATTTGTATCTGAGAACCGTGGTAAGCCTGATGGTCTTATTATCTCTCATCTCCCATTCGGACCAACTGCCTACTTTCAGTTACTTAATGTGGTAAGTACCTCTTTGAGATTATTATATTTTCAGAAATACTTGGCTTTGCTTAATCCAGAGTGCCCCTTTTGTTTTTTAGGTAACAAGACATGAAATTCAAACCAAGAAAGAAATGGGAAAAATGTCTGAGCAATATCCTCATCTCATTTTTGAACGCTTTACAACCCAGGTCTGTATTTGTTGAACACTTCACTCCTTGTAGAGTTGATGTACTCTTTTTTTTTTTTTTTTGGTTTCTAATGTAAAACATGTTGATCTTTTGGCAGATGGGTAAGAGAGTTATGAACATCTTAAAACACATCTTCCCAGTTCCTAAACTTGATGCAAAGCGCATAGTTACTTTTTCTAATGAATCTGATTACATTTCATTCAGGTATACAAGTTTTCTCCATAATAACTAAGTTGTAGAAAAATATGTTTGCATGTTTTGTTTTGTATCGTTTCTTGTTTGAAAAATCTTATGGGCGTATATATATAGGAATCATGTGTATGATAAAGGAGAAGGAGGCCCGAAATCGATTGAGCTAAAAGAAATTGGTCCTCGGTTTGAGTTGCGGCTCTACCAGGTACTATACACTCGGTTTATTCTGTTTTGAGTCTTCATAATTGACCTGAAACTCTTAATTTTATTTGGTTTGACAAAATGTAAATTTGTTTTGTTAATGTATTTTGAAAATATGTTATACATATATATATATATATATTCTGTGTATATGGGAGATTCAATCTAGTTCTTTAATGTCAATGCTGTTTCTTTGCAGGTGAAATTAGGAACATTGGAACAAGATGAAGCAGAGGTCGAATGGGTTCTGAGACCGTATATGAACACTGCTAAAAAGCGCCAGTTTCTCGGTGAATGAAGATACTGCTAAAACGCACCAACTGTTGCTTTCAAATTGTGTTTTAAATTTTGAATTGCTGAAGGAGCTGTTCAACTTTGATGTGTTAGAGAATATTGCCGGAAACGTTTATGAGCTGAATTTAGCATCGATTTGTTGTAACCTTTTCTTTTTGTGGAAAACGTTTTGCTTCAAAAAAGGCAACGTGCTCGTCTTAAACTGGTAAAACATTTGTCTTAATCTGCAGACTTAAAAAGCAAAGATCCTATCCTTATTTTTCTACAAGATATATGACGTGCTAATTAAAGTGGATAAATACAAAGTTGGATACACAAAGTTTGAGCATTGGCTGCCCTACCTATTGATGGAAAAGGAACTTACGTGCAGACTTAGCAAGGCTTCACCGATGTAAACCGAAGGCAGTGATTCAGATACGATGTATGATGCGAGTACACGTGCGGTTAAGCTTGTTTTTTGGTATGTCTTCTGGGTGTACAAAGCTTGGTCTAATATGCAATGATTAGGACCGCCCTGATGTTATGGCTGGAGAAGTTAAGATAGCTAAAGACCATACACAACTAGTGAACATTTTCTAATGGGTAAAATACAAAGTCAATCACAACAACATAACATCACTCGAGTATTAAAACTATACAGAAATTGAACAACTGTAATCAAACTCAGAAGGAAAACAATGAAGTGAAATAATGACATACTCAAGAAAAAAAATTGGAATCAAAATCCGAAGGAAAAAAAAGTGGGAGCAAATAAACCATCATCGGTCTCTACGCGTGATGCATCATACTCAATTCTCTCATCCAAATCATCAACGGTCTCTACTCGTGATTCATCCAACTCAAAGCTCTCATTAGAGAGAATTCTGTCGTCGTAGTCCAACAGTTGTTTTGAATCGGTTTCTACTACCAGAATCTGGACACCACATTCAATAATTTCCAAGTCCTGGGATACGCTGCTGAATTCGAATAATATCTCAACATCAAAATCGAAGTCTTCCTTAGGAATGTCGTGGTAGAATATACCCAGATGTTCTGATTGAAATCTATAGGGAAGAAGAAATGGGCAATTCACCTTGGAGCAACCATTTATGCTTATGCAGCACATTAATTCTATATCATTAAAAGCATCTTCCATCTCTGATTTAGGGGAAATTATGACACACATCTTAAACCGGGAGGCATTTGAACTGATGATGGCCAAGGAGTTTCCTATAGCCTTGTGATTGAATTCTGCAGGTATATCTCTTCCTGGTATGCATGCAAACAAAGATTGTTTGGTAATTTCTCTCCTTGCTTCTGGACCCAATTTGAAGCAGTTTGCGAAATAGAGATTTGAAATCTCAGAGTCGGAACGGAAAGGTACTATTGTCTCCAGTGATTCACAATTCCATACCATTAGACATTTGAGCGACCTAGGAAGCTCTGGCAGTGATGCAAGTTTTGGACATCCTATTATCCAAAGCGTGTCCAAGTTATGAAGATCTTTGATGCAATCTGGAATTCTCTCAATATCTGCGCCACTTCTCTCTACCATCAAGTTTACCAGATGTGTCTGTGTAGTACATCGATCTGGAATGAGACCGCCGACTATACAGAGATCTTCAAGATGAGACCAGAGCCTAATGGAAGCAGTAAATTCTTCTAACATCGTGTCTACGATTGAGAGGTATGTGACGGTCGTGGAAATATTTGGAAGTTTCCTTAACTGGTTGCATCCTCCTATTAAGACTGAGTGAAGAGATTCCAAATTGAAGAGAGTCGGAACAACTTGTAGGTTTCTACAAAATTCCATCTCCAATTTCTCTAGTTTATGAAGTCTTCCAACAGAGGAATGAATCTTTACCAAATTCTCGCAATCACTCACATCCAAAATCTCGAGATTTGTAGCATTTGCAAGATTCGGGAGTTCCTCCAAATTAGAAGATGCTGACAAATTCAGTTTCCTGAGATTTCCAAGAGGCTGTATATGAAACAACACAGCAAAAAATATCAACACATGATGCATGAGGAAAAATAGTCATAACCGTGTGTTATTTACTTTAGTAATTTTCAAAATAAAAAAAGTCGGACCTTTGTGTTATTATTGGCAATGTAAAACATCACAATAACATAAGAATGTTTATGAAAATGATGAGAGAAATACATACCTTTAGTTTATTGGTTAGTGCATATAAATTTACTTACAAGTCTAAAAAAATCATATGTTAATGGATGACTGATTTTTATATTTTTAATTAAAATACATGTCTTGTTCATTTTTCTAAAATGGTTTAAAAGTAAAGTTGGGGTTATTATTTGTTGATTTTTATTGGATATGAATAAAGATTTGCTGTCACATATTTTTTATAAAAAATATAAAGGCTGCAAGCTTAACTCAGATCCGTAATAAACGATGTTATTTTAAATTCCACCTAGATTTCTAATGTCATGTAGAATTTCAATAAACCAATAAAGCAACTGAACAATTTATTCAGAGTAACGAATTATAAAAACAACCTGGGTTCCTTCCCACAATGCCTGAGCTTGCTATTTCCTTAATCCCAATTAAATTAAAGCTACAAAACTATATGAGAAATGCTTTATATCATCACTAACATGTGTTCTTTTAGAACCCGAAAAACAAAAAGATACGTAGAAGTCTTGAAAACTTATAAATTTTGGATTTCTTACAAAATTTCGAGGAACAAATAATTGAAACTTTCAGGAATAAAATAATTGAAGTTTTAATCCAACACTAATAGCATATATTTTTGTTACGCTCTTTCCCTTTGCCTACCACCATTAATTTCTTAATTTATAAAAATATAATGGCAATCAATATATATATAAATCAACAACAATTAATGGAATAATTTTAAAAACTTCCTCAACTTTTAGAATCATCAAATTCAACAAATTTGTTTGTTCCAATAACCCCTCCTAAGAATGTTCATGGAAATGTCGAGAGAAATACATACCTTTAATTTATTGGTTTTTTTTTGAAACACCTTTATTCGTTAGTGCATACTCCCTCCGTTTCATATTAAGTGTCGTTGTAGAGAATTTTTTACGTTACAAAATAAGTGTCGTTTTCGGTTTTCAATGCAAAATTTATTAATTTTATTATGTAATTTGTTTTTCTATTGGTTAAAATATGGTTAGGTGTATGGGTAACTGTGTTTTTATATAGGAAATATGTAAAATTAATTGTTTTCTTAATCCGTGTGCACAGCTGTAGAGTGACACTTATAATGAAACAGAGGGAGTATAATTCACTTACAAATCTCAACAAAATTATATGTTAATGGATTACAGTTTTTATTCATTTTTAAAAATTTGGGATAAAAAGTAAATTAAGTGGGGTTATTATTTTGTTGAATTTTATTGGATATGTGCTTTCACATATTTTTCATAAAAAAATATAAAGGGTGCAAGCTTAATTCAGATCCGTAAATAAACGATGATATTTTAAATTCCACTTAGATTCCTAATGTCAATTAGAAATTTCACAAAACCAATAAAGCAACTGAACAATACTATATTCGAGTAAAGAATTATAAAAACAAACCTGTGCTCCTTTCCATAGATGCCTGAGGTTGCTATATTCTAAATTGAGTTCCACAAGATTTTCCGGCCAAAATGTATGTGGAAGACACTTTCCTGGATATTCCTCCCAATGTAATAACTTCAGACGAGGTGGAAAATACATGTCCTCGGGTACATGCACTCTAACATTTGTATCCAGTCTTGTGTTGTAGATCTTGAGAAATCGAAGATTGCACATTCTTTTGAAAGCTCTTGGGCTTATATTCATGATGTCTTCGATTGTAGATAAATCAAAGCGTATCCCCATCAAACTTCTACTACCCTAAATAAAATTCAAAACAGAATAAATTAAATTATGTGAAAGCAATAGGTAAGATCTGTGGGCATTTGCCAAATGATTCACTTTAACAGATCCATCATAAATAAGAAGAAGAAAAACTTACAGAATCGTTTTCAAGAGCATCGAGAATATCATCAGAATCAATTAGGATTTGGCGTTTCCAAGGCTCCTGTCTTTGAATGGCTTGTCTACCCACTTGTTGTAGTAACTTGTGCATCACTATTTCTCCTTTGGGAGATAACTGTATGAGAGATTTATAGGCGAGGGTTCTTAACCCAAGTTGGACATCCAGATTACTGTCAGCGAGCATAGCGTTCACATGACCATCTTCTTCATAGTTGAAGAAGACTGCAATGTGGAGAAATAGAGATTGGTCGTTCTCATCTAAACTGTCGAATCCAACTCTAAGTATTGCATCGATCTTCTTTATACTGCTCTTTTCAAGCCTATGCAACATACTTTCCCAGTCATCTTCATTCTTTCCACGTAAATTTGAACCCATTACACGGAGACCCAATGGAAGGTTACTACAAAGCATTGTTGCTCTTTCAACAAGCTTTTCAAAACCATTTGGTGCCAAGCTTCCTTTAAAAGCATACCGACAAAGAATTTTATAAGCCTCTTCTGAAGTAGGAAATTCGACATGGTATGTATTGTTGATATCATGTTTCTCCAAAAGCTCTTGATCTTCTGTGGTAAGGATAATCCTGCTTCCATGACCAAACCAGCTAGTTTCATCAGCCAAAGCCTCAAGTTGCTGCAGATCGTCCACATCATCAAGAATGATAAGAACTTTTTGGTCAAATAGCCTATCCCGTATCGCACCTAAATGGTTTATCTTTATATCATTCTGGTTTAGAAGCTTTGAAAGAAGTTGCTCTTGTAAACGCAGCTTCCATCCATACTCGTCATGACCACGGTTACAACTTCCACTAATATTCTCCATAAAATAAGAAAGCTGGAAAGTGCTAGAGAGTCGGCTATGTAAAGCTCTGGCAATGGTAGTTTTACCAATGCCTGCAGGGCCACAAATTCCAACAAGCATCACTCCATCCTCATCACCTAAATGTAACAAAGACTGTATCTTCTCCAGGTGTGCTTCAATACCAACCATGTCTTTAAAATCCCTAGAGATTGTAGCATTTAGTTTGTTTGAGACATCTCTAGCAATCTTTTCAATCATCTCTGATTCGTTGTCCCTAATAAGAGAGAAAAGTCACCGTGCTTATGAGAAGTCAGATGTGAAAATGGTTTGCATATTCTATTGGCTAAGCAAAAGCTGTATTAGTGGTTAGTGGGGAGAGTCTAGGTTTGGTCTTATGTTCTTGACTGTAACTAACAAGTATTAGTAAAGGAAAAATCATAGGATTAGCATCCAGATGTAGCACTGAGTACAATATTTCGATGTAGTATGTTACATCTAAATGTGTTTGTTTTTGTAGTTTGTATTTGCATCTAAATACAAACATCTAGATGATAACTTGTTTGCAAGGTTTTCAAAACCGGACCGGACCGGCCGGTTGGACCGGTCCGACCGTGACTCCTTCATTTAGCCGAGTCCGAGTAAGTTCAAAAACCGGATTGGAGTTGAACCAGTAAAACCGCTAAAAAACCGAAACCCGGTTAAACCGGTCAGACCGGGTTGAACCATGATTCAAATATTTTACTGGTTCATTGTCCGGTCCGGTTTTTAAAACCTTGCTTGTTTGTTTTTATTTAATAATAACACTAGGGCCAGCGTAGCCCCGTTTTTCTTTGAAATTTTAATTAAATATGTTGTATGTTATTTTGATATTTAAATATTATAATCTATTATAAAATATAAGTAGTTAGAAAATTATATACTTATTTTAATTATTTATTATTTTTTGTCTTTCGAATTTCAAAAATTTTAAAATTCAAAATTTGCAAGTCATAGATTATCAGTATGTGTTTTGCGTAGCATTGTTGTGTATTGTGGCTCTTTTGTTTCTTTATTTGTTGTGTGTTATTACTTTATTTTCAATTTTTTTTTGTATAATATTGTTTGATTATTTATTACTCATTGTTTACTGTTTGAATCTTTTTTTGATAATTATTCTAAATTTGATCTTATTTAACTTAAATAGAAAGAAAATTTGGTGTGTGAATTTTTATTTCCTAAGATTTGATAAAACGTAAAGGAAAACAATATGATAATAGATTTTTCGTCTTTCCAAACTTATAGAATTTATTTATTTATTTTGAATATGTTTAAGTATTCTATAACTTTTACTTAACTATTAAATCGTTATTAAACTTTTCATTAAACACATAATTTTTTTTTCATTAAACTCAAGTTATATTACATAGCATAATTAACGTTTAATTAGTCTATTTTTTATATCTTATTAGTTTTAGGTTTTTAAATTATTTCATTATGTATTAATTGTTAATTATTTTTATATCATTTATTCTAAGTTAACCTTAAATTTGGTAGTAAAAAGGGAGCCAAATATCTGTGAGATTCAGTATATTTATTTTCGTTGGTATAAATCTAATAAAATGTATAAAGATTAATAGCGTAGATTGATTTATCCTCTTTCTCTTGAATTTTATTAATTATTATTATAAATTTATTTGTTTTAGTTATATTATGTATTTTCACTAAATGATTATTTTTATTATAATTATAATACTTTTATTTATTATAATTATATTTTTTTGTTTAATTATATTATATATTTTCACTAAATGATTATTTTTTTTAACAAACAAATTAATGTCAATTTGTTTTTTGGTTTCATTAAAAATAAAATATTAATTATAATGATTTAGAAGTTTTTAAATTGGTTGAAAGTTTCGGTGGCTGTATTAGGGTTCACTTCATGTTTGTTTGGGACATGTTATACGGATCAATGTGATATAGCTGTGTATTTTTGCAAGTTCTATTCTCGAGCTTATGGTATTATGTGCTAATTTTTCTCTACCTTATTCTTAAAAACTATCAATCAATTGGAAAGATATTTACTCCCATTTACTTTTTTATTACTATTTCAAAAGAGATAAACGCACACTCATCGTTGTGCTAGATATAGTGAACGTAACAATATTTTCTCATTTTTCTTCTCTCTTCCATTTTATTTTTTTCTGATTCTATTTGATCGGAAAAAAATGTGAGATCTTAGCGGTCACTGAAGTAGTGTTATGAGGTGAAAGATTTTGAGGTATGATGGTGTTAAGCTAATGACATATTATTTTGTCAAGTTATACGCATGGTATTCAGATTTATTTAGTTTTCATCTTGTGTGTATTCGTTTCAAGAGAATTGATTGTTATTTAGTGTTTACTTTGTCTATAATAAAATGAGTGACATGTTCACTTAAATATTTTACCATTTCTATCAAAATTTGATGTCCGTTTATATTTTGGACATTTTTATTTTTATCTAGTGTCAAATATATTTTACAATATTATATTATTTTTTGTGTTGTGATTGTGTGGTTTCAGGCATTGACTTGGATCATGGTAAAGCTACGGAACCGTGATTGCTCGCAGCGTGGAAGGATGTGTGGTGTTTGGGTAGATCCGTGTAGGATTGAACTTATGATAGCCTAGTGTGCAACTGAATGATTGAATACTTTGTATGGATCACATTTCTATTATTTATAAAATGTCGATTTGCCCCTTAATCTACTTTGATTGTGTATGTTGAATGAATGAACCTCAAAACCTTGAAAATATTTAGAAAAATATTGGACTTAAAACCGGAATCAAATAGTTTAAGTATTAGGTGAGGCCACGGTCTGGTTGGATTGAGAGTCCATGATCGGGTCCTACAATATTAGAAGAGATTGGATATCCAAATCTAAATAGGTAGTACCCAAACCCGAATCGATACCTAAAGATAACCGAACATATGTATAAAATTAACCATATATTTTTAATTTAGCTCTCTCATTTTAAGTTCTCTAATATCAGACGAAGTTATTTATTACTCACTTAAAATGGATGTCAAGTTCTTATTTCGTGCATTAACCAAAGTTGCATCCCAAATTTCAATAAAAAACAATCAAATTAATGTCTTTCTGTTCTTAAATTTTTGTCTCCAAACCTATTAATCATCCTTTTAAAAATTAAAAATCAGTTAGTTTAAAGATATATTTTTAAATACAAGAAAATTAAGCAATGAGTAATTTAATTTTAAAAAAATCTAAATATACAAACCCTATACAAAATAACCGAATCCTAACTAAAAATACCCGACCCAAAGTGTAGAAGTACCCGAATGGATACTAAACCAATATACCGAAATACCCAAAAATTTAAAATATCCGATCCGAATGGGTACCCGTACACCCATCCCGAGCAGCCAACATAAAAAACCGAACATGGATATAACATTTATTAATGGTAAGTAAGCTAATATATAGTTTTATAGTTTTATATAGAAGACGTACGAGTCTTATCTATATATAATAGCAAACCACTTTTTTCTTCTCCGCTGATGTCAGCATTCTCTTACATGTCACAAATTGTTTTTTTTATACAATCTAATGGTCAAGTTTTAGTTTCATTTAAATGTATGATGTCATCAATTTCTAATCTAAAAGGTGTGTCTTAACATTTTTCAAACACCAAAAGACACAATTCTTTTAAAAAAATAGAGCAAAGACACAACTCTTTTTTTTTGAAATATTAAAAGACACAACCATTTCAAAAACACACAACTCTTTCAAAAGAAACAACCTATTTTTAAACCATTACCATATTTTTTAAGAAAATATTCAGAACTATTAATTGTAAACTTATTTATGAAGAAATGTCATTTGTCAATAGGTGAAAAAATGATAACAACCGACTAACTACTCTCTCGTCAATTCCTTGAATAATCTCTTTTCAGTCATGTATTATTAAAGATATATGTAAAAATTGTGTCTATTAATTGAACGGGTGTGTCTAAATCTCAAGGTAATATTGCTTAGTTTATTTTGAATGTGCAAAAGGAT